CGTGGGCCCCGGGGAGCCCACGCGGCCATTTTGTCCCACAGGCCCGTGGGGACGGGGTTGCGGAGAGGCCGCCGGCCCTGCCCGCCCTCACCCCGCGCCCCGCAGCCAGGCTGGGACCGGGGCCCGGCCTGCACCACCGCGAGCTGCTGCCTCTGCCATGGGGCTCGCTCCGGAGAGCGCTGGGGCAGATGGTGGTGGACGGGGCTGGGGTCCTGCCAGAAGCCCCGGTCTGCTGCTCTGGCTGGGAGGGAAGAGCCGCAGCGGTTTTGCTGGGAGATGCTGTACCAGAAGGTGTTGGAGCTTCTCCACTCCCAAGCAGCATCGAGCGTAGCTTACCCAAGCCTGGCTCCCAGAGCTTCTCCCGCCCCCACATCCCTGAGTTCCTTGAACCAGACCTGGGAACATATTTCAATTTCACTTCACTCTTTCAGGGAAGCGTTTGTGGGTTTCAGATCTCTGCCTGGGATCTGGATCCTCTTTTTGCACCATTTTGGCTTGTCTGGAGCAAAGGAGGAGTCACTGCGGTCAGCTGGGAGCAGAGCATAACACAGCTTCTCTGGGAAGGGGGCAAGCCAAATTCACACCCCTTTTTAGGTCCAAAGATCTCTTTCAGGGGCCATGTCCTGAGCTGAATGCTTGCAATGAGGCTCTCACTCAGTAAGGATGACACCAGCTCAAGGCTTTCCCTGCTTATCCCCTTCCCTGCTTCCCAGGGGCCGTGCTCAGGGCTGCCAGGTTGAACTCTGTAATGCCCTCACTTATTTTTTCCCCCAGTTGCTTCTAAAAGGGGATGAAGAATAAATGAATAATCAGCTTGTCTCATTAAGAAGAGAAAAAAAGCGTTAGGATTCTCTGTGCAGAGGGCATGAGAAGCCGCTAGTTAAAAAGTAATGTTACTCTACTGCTTCATTATCGATTTACTTCATCTAAGAACAGCTTTGCTGGAAATAGCCACAGCCTCCTTACAGAGCTCAGCTGGCAGCCAGCTTTAATAGCTCTCCGTGGATCCTGTTTAGGATCTGTCCATGCTGCAACGTTCCTTCTGGTGGGCAAAGGCTGAGGGCAGGGTTAAATGCACAGCAGGCAACGCGGGTCGAAGGTCTGGTGCCTCCCCAGGGGAGTAGATTGGGATCAGAAGGTAGACAGAGCCGGGTGAAGGTGCTGGGCACTTCAAGAGTCAAAGTGCAGGCAGGGCTGCGTAGCTCATGCCGTCACCTGAGGATGCTGCAAGGGCCCTGGAAGCAGGCAGTAACACACGGCTGAGCTTTGCTGCGCAGGTGAGAGCAGAGTAGTGGAAGGGGCTCCTGCCTGACCCGTGCCGTTTGCAGCCCATTCCCTTGCGTACCTTCCCATGCTCGTGGCTCTCATTGCACAGCAGTCTCCTCCCTAGCCCAGTCTTGGATGGTCCCGCTGCCAAAGGCTATGTAGAAGATCAGGCCAAACAGATTGAGGGCTGCAGATACGAAGAAGGCATTCCTCCAGCCAGTCTGGAGATCCTGGGGGGCCAAGAACAGATCACGATGGTATCGCCCTTCCCTTTATCTCCATGTAGTGATCACCCAACTACTGCCACCCAGTTCACTGGCATTAAACTCATCTCCATCCTCTGCTTGCTACTAGTACCCACAGCAGAAGAACTTTGCTCAACTCGACATATGCCAGACCTCCTCTTGTTGGAGATGCATTTCCTGCCTTGGCATTTTTGGAAACATTGTGTGCTGTGCTGAATTCAGGAAGCTTTCCTGCCTGGCACAGAGCTTCCCCCTCACCCCACTCCCTCGACCCTCTCCCCATCTCTAAGTACATCCAGATGGGGCCCATGTGGAGTTCTTCCTGCTTTCTGAGTCATCCCCGTGTCCTCAAAATGGTCCAGAACTCTGGTTTGCCGGGTGCTACACCACATTTTCATTGGGAGAGGGGGTTGGCTTGGAGTAATTTTTGATTCAGTGCAAAGAAAGGAATCCATTTCTGAGAGCAGACCTGTGTTTTCTTTCAGGGGTGTGCCTGTGGTTTGTGGCCCCAAATTACCTGGCTGACGAGAAGTCCAACTGCGGTAGGAGCAATAATTCCCGCGACTATGCCAAAGGTATTTGTGATTCCCAGCAGGAACCCTGCATATCTGGGGAGAGGAAGCAAAGATTTCCTGAGTGAGGCAGAGAGGAAACCGTCACAAGAAGGGAGAGGAGCAGGTGCTGCCAGTCCCTTCCCTCATCTGCACAAATACTGCCTGTCATGCTGAGCAACACTAGGATCTTCCCTGCAAGGCTGGGGGGGATTTTAAGTCTTTGTTTTACTCCTTAGCTTACAATGCCACCAGCTACAGAAGATAAGGGAAGGGAGAGTAGGAGTTGCAGAAGCCTTGGGGGATTGGGAACAGGAAGGACGCAGAGCCAGGGAGGGCGCAGAGGTCAGACCCACTTACCTGGGCGCTATATCGATGTGGTTAATATTGATGCCTGCCCCCGTCATGCTGATTATTGTCAAGGCCAGCGTTAGAAGGACCACAACAACCGTGGAACTGCAGCCAAGGTAAGGCACAGCCACCAGGAAGACAGCTGGGAGCAGCATCCCTTGGGAGGAAAAGGGGATGTGTTTTATAACAGGCCACACAAGTGTGTTAGAAAGACTGGATGACAGATGAAAGCTTGTCCTTACCGAGTGCTGAGAAGAGCTTCCTGATGGCTGCTGTGCCAAGCACTCGCCTGGCCAGGAGGAAATCAGCCAGCAGCCCAGCCAGGATGTGCCCCAGTCCATTCCCAATGTAAGGCAGGGAGGAGAGGAGCCCATTCTGCAGAGCAGAGAACAAGGCATTGTCACATCCATGGCACAAAGGAACAGAGCCAAGAGCTCCAGGACTGCAGCTCCCTCGGTCCCAGAGCCACTGGTCCTCAGGAAGAGATGTCCCTGAGGAAGCCCCCTGTTCCCAGCCTACGGAGGGACCAAATCCCATCACCGTTGCAGGGACCAGCCTCAGCTGCAGGGCAGCACTCACCTCTCTGAGGTCAAAGTGGAGGACGTTGCTCATGAACATGGGCATGGAGGTCAGCAGCATGTAGAACAGCCAGTCTGTGCAGAAGCAGGCAATGGTGATCGCCCAAAGAGGCAGTGATTTAGCCATGGCCACGAGTGGGAGGGAGCAGCCATGAGAGCTGCCCTGGAAGGAAGAAAACATCAGCCAGTTCCTGTCTCCCATCCCCTGGACAGGCTGTCCAGGCTTTCCTCAGCCTCTCTACCTGCTGCTGAGAAGACTGGGACTAGCCCTGGCCGCTGTATAAGGAGCCCAGATGAACTGACTCAGAGCAGTCCCTTTGCTACAGTGTCTGCAGCGTGGTCAGTCGTGGTTAAAAGGTTTGTGTGTACCTGGTGAGCCAGCAACGACACGATGTACTCCTGCTCCCCGGCATTAATCCATGGGTGATGTGCAGGGTCCTCGTACACGAGGAGGAACCAGCAGAGGCACCAGGCACAGCCAACGCCACCTGCGAGGAATGTGGCTCTCAATGCCAGCTCCTCTTACGGTGAGCTGCGACAGAGCTGAGAGCCAGCGAGCCAGCGGGATGGAGGCTGGTGCTAGTGAAATGACAAGCGCGGGAAGATGGAAAGGGAGAACTCCCCTTAACCCATTGCTCACAGTGAAAGCTGATGGCACGAAATGTTCAGCAAAGGCACGTTCCCTAATAGTACCCCAGCAAAATGGCTTCATCCTGGCCTGGCAGGTGGGAGGGGAGCCCAGAGCTCTGCAGGGGACTAGTAAGGACGGAGCTGGTCCCGCAGGGCTCTGATGGGGAACTTTTGGGAGCTCTGCCAGCAGATGGTCTGCAGCGGGGTTGGAGTAGAGGGACGTGATGGGCCATTACTCACCAAAAATGTAGAAGACAAAAGGCCACCCCAGACTCTGGCAGATGATCCCAGCCACAAGGAGAGCAAAGAAAGTCCCAAAAGTACATCCTAGGGATCAGAAACCAGAAGAGTCATTTTAATGGGACTTTGTGTGACCAGCAGTGAGTGGGACAGACCTACAGCCTCCAGCCTGATTTGTGATGGGAAAACGTGGTGGCACAAATGAAGCGCCTGTGCAAACAAGCACCCTTGTATCCAGGTTTGCTCCTTTCCGTGTCCGGGTTCCCTCTCCTGCCTCAAGCTGACCTGAGCCAAGGAAACAGAGAAGACACATGATGGGAGGAGGAGAGACGGAAAGGCTGAATGCTGCTAACACTTCTTTGCCAAGGACCCACAGCCTTGAACTTGAGGCTGCTACAAGAACTGGCTTGGGAAGAAGGGGGTGAGGGGAGGTCCTGCACTTAGTGAATCGGTGGTAGGGAAAAGTCCTTGTGTCTTACCAGCATCAGCGATGTTCATGAGCCTGCTGCGTTCCAGCGGAGGGGCCCATTTTGCCCAGAGCGTGTACTGAGCTGGAAATATCACTCCCTGCAAAGATTAACAGGGAGTGTGGAGGGACACGGGGAGCGCAGCCAGGGCTAACCACAGCAGGTTTCGTAGCCTGGCAGCACCTGGAGCCACGACTGACCTCAGCCAAGCCCAGCAGCACCTGCAGCCCGATGAGGAAGCTCATGCCGAGCTCTGCTGCTCGGGGCACGAGGAGCGTGAGCACGGAGGAGAGCAGGAGCCCACTGCCCAGGACGGGTTTCCCCCCGAACAGCCCCGAGCAGTACCCGCCCAGCGCCTGCGTGAGGCCGTAGCCGTAGAAGAAGGAGCTGAGGATGATTCCTTGAGTCTCAGCGCTCCAGTTGTACACGGGGGCCTGGAGGAGACAGAACGTGTCTGTCAGACAGAGATCTCTGTTCTCCAGGCACAGACTCCTCCAGAAGGGGAGAAGCAACCAGGAAACGCAGCCCTGAGTACAACAAACTGAGCTCTCTGCTCCTTCACCTGCCTTGTCCTCAAGGCTTTTCCCTGCTGCTTCCAAGTCTGTCCTCATGCAAAAGCAAGAGTGGACTAAGCCTGGGAAGCGTCTTTCAGTTATCTGCATCTGCTTTCCACTTACGTCCTGAGCAAATCCTGGGTAGGAGCCGTGGGGAGCGCTGCCGGACCAGCTGTGGGGATGGCTGCCGTTAGTCATGGCGACGATGGCGATGCTAAGGCTGACCCGGAGCGCGTATGCCACGAAGAGAGAGACGTGCAGGACCAGGGCCAGGCCACAGCGAGCGGAGCAGAGCCCTGCGGAGGGAGAGCGCCCACAAACCAGGGCTGGTCGGAGAGGCCACGGGTTAACTCTCACCCCCTCCTACAGATCCGTGTCGCCAGGCAATCACCTTACTGCAGCAACAAATGGCTCTTTCCAGGTACCCTCCAGACATCTACCCCTGAGCCCTTGCCCTCCTCCTTTGCAGGGGTGGCAATCTGTATCTCCAGAAGGAGAAAGGAGGGGCAGGAAGGCAAGGAGACTTGCCCAAGGATGGAGGGGACATGTCGAAGCCTGAGGTCGCTGGCTCCCAGGCCCTGCTGAGGCAGCGCTTCAGCCCGCTCCTCCCCAGGGAGCGGCTTTACCTGTGCGGGAGGAGGGCTGCTGAGCAAGCAGAGGGGCTTCGTCCTGCTCTGCCTCTGGCTCGTCCCCTGCCTGCGTGTTGTCCATGTGGCGCTGCATCCTCTCCTCCTGCAATGCTGCTGCCTGCTTCTCCTCAAGATAACGTCCAGCCCTGTTGGGAAGTGAATCTCAAACGTCAACAAACACGGGAGCAGCCGGGCAGTGACCGCTGGCATTTCCTCCCAACGCCGTTACCGGCACGGCGAGAGCGGAGCAGGCTGCCGGTCGCAGACGCCTGCACTGCCGGCACAAGGCTTTATGAGCACAGTGATTTACAGCCGCCTCAAACCTCCCCGGGATGGCCTAATTTGCATCCGTGGTTTATAACCCTCGACCACAACAGCCTGGCAGGGCAGCGGGGTCTCTCCCGCCCCAGGGTGCTCCTGCCGA